TTTTCCCATGTCCTAGAGGTGCTGCAAAAACTTAAAAAGTACATTTTCTTAGTTCAATTAAGATTAGTCAATTTTAAAAGGGTGGATTCTAGTTTTTTCAATATACGGTCACCTGGATGACAATAATAATAATAATAATAATAATAATAATAATAGTTCTAGTACTCAGTTTCTTTGGTGGGGATGGGGGTGTGGGTGGGGATAAGTAGTCACAGAATTGAGACAGGCATTATCCATCAAAACTTACTGCATATCACATGATTTATCTTTTGTTCCTAAAATAAACCTGTGACTGGTTTGTTTGCAAATCAGGTTTTGGTACGCTTCCCTTCTGGTGAACGGAAAGGGAGGAGGTTTCAGAGTACCGCTACAATCCAATCCATTTATGACTATGTTGATTCTTTGGGATGCTTAGAAGCTGATGATTACAGCCTTGTTTCAAACTTCCCTAGAGTTGTTTATGGTCCAGAGAAGCGCACATTATCATTGAAAGAAGCAGGACTACATCCCCAGGCCAGTCTTTTTGTCGATCTGCATTAGTCGAAACAAGTTCATAATTCAAATTTGTATGATGAATTGTAGTTGAAAATTCTGGCAAGCAGAGAATGTTATACTGTGTTTCTTTCCATTTCGACGTCTAATTAGAAATGATAGTGACTTAAAAGAAAGCTTACGCTTTCCCTCTGGATGTTCCATAGCTTTTCGATGCAGAATCAATCAAAAATTGCTTTTTGAAGTATGGTTTTGTGGGCATTAATCCTCTACTCTCACAATGTTGGACATGGAAGCCTATATTTAGGATTCTTTAAGATTTCAAGCTCTAGAGTTTTATCTTTAATCTCAATAGTTGACGGGCAGAAATGGGAAAAGAGAAATGCAGTGATGTGTTAGGCTGTTGCTGAAATGAATCTTGTGTGAGGATTTGGATCCATACATTGTTAATAAGAAAGCCACAATTTCTTCCTTCTAATTGTTTTTATCTTTGAGATTTATTTACTTTTATCATATTTTAATTTTTTAAAAGGATAAAAGTTTTTTTATTTTAAAAATTATAATAAATTTTAATTTTTTATAGTAAATAAATAAATATTCAATATTTTACATAAATATGCATAAGAATTGTATTTAAATAAATATTAAGTTTTAGTTAAATTCAAAGAAGCCATGGAGCAAATTTATGTGGATGTGCTTATATAAGATACGGAAGATATAATAATGATTTCGAATACCCCTTATACTTTTAATAAATAAATACTTTTATTAATAAAAAAAATAGAAATTAAAAGGATATGGCCAAAACAAAAAAGTTGTAAGGGTTATAATTAATTATTTTGGAATATTAATGTGCTCTTATTTGCACAAGTGTAAAGAAAAATTTAAAACCCTTTGATATTAAAAATATCAAGATGTTTAATTATAAATGATAATTGTTAAATATATAAAATATAACATGAGAGATATAAATTTTAAATAATAATTAAATTTTATTTTCGTCAAATAAAAAATACTTGAAAAGAACTTTATATGAGGAAAAAAATTTTCAATAGTTGTCTGTATAAATTATTTAATATTTATATAAAATTTATATCTAAAAACTTAAAAAAAATTAAATCTACTAAAAATTTTTAAAAAAAGGGTAAAAATTTACGTAGGTGAATAAATTCAAGAGTTTTAATGTGAATTGGAACTTTTCAAAGGGCATGTTGAAAATTTTGGGAGGCAAAAGGATAATGCTGAACGACAACTCACAGGCGGTTATGAAGAAAAGGGCGTATTTGGAATCACAACATATTAATTTAGAATAATATATATATTTTAAAAAATAAATAAATTTCTAAACATACCTTATCTAATCATTAATTCAAATAATTACTTTACATTTCAAAATATAAAATAAAAACAATTAAATAAAAACTTTAATATCAAAATATTCATTTTATTTTATAATTAATTTTTAAATTTAAATATTAATATTTAATAAGATAATTTTTTAAATTTTAAATATAATTTTAATTAAATAAAATAACATATTTTAAAATTAAAATTTTTAATTATTTTTAAAAGTCAAAAAATGATATACATTAATATTTTATAATTATTTCATCTTGTGTATTTTCTTTGTATTTATTTTTTTACGAAGTGATGAAATTGCCGACAGGGTGATATCAACACAACCGCATGGCATATGCCTGCTGATTTTCTCGTAGCCAATAATGGCGTTTTCGTAATTCTCAAGAACTTTGTGCCCATTTACGGCAATCCGCATCAAAACAACGTGAATGATAAACCCGATCCTCTTCCGGATTAAAGAGTCCAATACCTAAACCCCAGCAACCCCATAGAAGTATAGAGAATCATTCCAGTCCATTTTCGCAGGAAACAAACAGCGGAAAACAAGAAAGAAGCGATCAAAGAGGGACCGAGAAAAGGCCTCAACTTCTTCTCAATTCTGAAATCTAAACCCTAATTGGCCAAGAAATGGTTGATGTAGCCGATAAATTGGCGTATTTCCAAGCGATCACGGGACTCCAAGATGTCGATCTGTGCAGGGAAATCCTCGACGCCCATGGCTGGGACCTGGAACTCGCCATCTCCTCTTTGACATCCGGCAATCAAACTTCCTCCTCCACCGTCACCGCTGTGCGGTCGGAATCAGAGTCTCGCGCACCCCTAATTAACCGGACTGAATCCGCCTCCGGCTCTGGTCCGCCTCCGCCTCCGCCTCCGCCTCCTGCTCCTGGTCTGGCTTGGAGACTCGTTACGTTGCCATTTTCAGTGATCTCCGGCAGTCTGGGGCTGATCTCGGGCGCTGTTGGGCTTGGTTTATGGGCGGCGGGGGGAGTTCTTTCGTATTCGCTCGGTATGGTTGGGCTGGGCTCTGGGCGGGGAGGTGAATCGTCGGCGCGGTTGGTTTCGGCCTCAGGTGTGGCATCGGAAGCGGCTGACTTCGTGGAGGCGTTCGAGAGGGAATATGGCAATAGTAGGCCGAATTTTGTTGCTGAGGGTTTTATGGATGCGCTTCAGCGGTCTAGGAACTCGTTCAAGCTGTTGTTTGTGTACTTGCACTCGCCAGATCACCCGGACACGCCTGGCTTCTGCGAGCAGACGCTTTGTTCAGAGCCAGTGTCGGCCTTTGTGAATGAGAACTTTGTGGCCTGGGGAGGCAGCATAAGGGCTAGCGAAGGTTTTAAGATGAGTAATAGCTTGAAGGCGTCACGGTTTCCTTTTTGTGCCCTGGTCATGCCTGCAACAAACGAGAGGATTGCGTTGCTTCAGCAGGTATCAGTTCTCTTTCGTTTAGGGTAAAGAAGCTTAATTGCCATCCACATAATGCAAGTTAATTGTATTCTTTTGGTAGGTTATATAAGACTTGATTGACAGGTGATGGTTATAATTTATTAAGAAGAGTTACTTTACCCTGTTGTTCCATAAGGTGAGGGAAAAGAAAGGAGAAAGTGAGAAGGTAAGAATGGACTTTTAAAAGAAAGGATTCATGAGTGTTTTTTTCTTTCTTTTTTTGGGGATAGCTAGTAAGGGAAAGGAAAGGAAGAAATTTTTTCTTTTTGGCTGTAGAGTGGGAAGGGATTAAATTTTCAATTCTTATAGTTTGGTTAGGGAACAGAAAGCATATTACAAAATGGATTAGTAGAAATATCAACATTGTAATGTTGAAAAACACAGGACTGGTGCTTTGAAAACCCTTTTCTTTCTCTCTTCCTCTCAAACTTGGGGAATAATTAAGATGAGGGTTCCAGGGTTAAGAGAGGGATACTAAACAATGAAAAACTGGAATGTGATTGGTTTTGTCCCTTTTGAAGCGGAGCATAAAAGAAAAGAGCAAGCTATACTATTGAATCACAATACTTAAAATAGGGGTATCCACAGCCTGCTCCTAATGACTCTACACTGCTGTGTTTAAGAGACATAAGTCATGTGTTGCTGGATTTTTGTTCTTTGATCTCTTTGCATGGCAGCTAAAATCAGGTCTACTTGCAAGAATTAGCCAGTTCTGGCTATCCTTTGATTTACTACTGAGATTTGGGCTGTGTATGCAAGGGTAAGAACTCATACCAGTTATTGAGTTTTCATGTAGAAAATGAATTTTTTGAGTTTGGGAAGAGATGAGGGTTAAGGAAAGAAGCGATCTACAAAACATGTCAGTGTTAGGTCATTGTTAGCAGTTGTAGTGCCTTGCTCTGAAGGAGTAATGGCAGAGAATTCGGGTGATTCTGAGAGATAACTTAAGAAGTCTTTGCAAACAAAAAATAGAAAATTTGCTTTACAATGTATATTCAGATTTTTTCCCATTGACGGAGGGTGTTAAGGGAAGGGTTGTTATTAGACACTTAAGAACTTGTCTCTCTCTTTTCTCTCTTTTTCTTTTTCTTTTCTTTTTTTTCTTCATTTTTTTTTTTTTTTTTTTTTTTGTCTCTTTTGTTCTTTAAGGGAAATCTTGTCACTGCTATGATTTAGCTTTTCTAAACCTTGCTCTTAGTTAAGAGCTTTGGTATTTTAAGATTTGAGCTTGGGCCTTGGGATAAAAGTAGATATATCTTGCATGATGGTATTGAAGAATCCACCAGGGGAAAGCTTGAGACAGATGTAGAGGATCTCTTTCTTCTCTTTCTTTTGACATATTTGGGCGTACATCTGTGTATTTTGGGTGGGGGCTGTGAGTTTGAAGGCACCTATATTTGGATTTTTTATGGGAAGACGAATTGTGGTCAATAAATTATGGCCAGATGAAACTTATCTTGGCTGTATCTGTTGTTTTGACATAGTGCAAGTTGTTTGGAGCACTTTCCTTTCAGCTTCAGGAGAGCAATACAGCATTTCTTCTCTTCAATATGAGGATTTATCTGCAATTGATGGTGGCAGGATTTACTTTAGTCTGTCTTCAGCAATCAGTTTCTGAGTCTTCTGCTTGGCTGCTCCAGATGCTCATGGGATTAACCAATAGGTGTTGTTCTAATGGGCCATAGTTGTAGCATGGCCAAATTGCTAGTAATAAAGATAATTTATTGATTTAAAACTGCATTAGTTCTTGGTTTTGTTTCTTTACTATGCTCATGCTTTTCTTTGTTGTCTCATTCTTCTTGTGGTTGTGTTGCTTGTGTTCATTATGCCTTAATGTATGTACAAGCACTGCCTTCAAACTTTTCCTTTATACTTGGAACCATCGGAAAAGTAAATACAGAGAAGACATATTTCATCTAAAATTGGAAATAAACATATCTTCCTTTTGTGATGTAATCTCTCTCTCTTCTTCTTCCTTTTTTTCTTTTTTTATCAGACACTTTAGCTTTATAGCTTGAATTGCATGAAGTTATCACTTTCTCAGAAGAGATGGCTATGTCTGCCCATTTTTCTTCACAATATACCATGCCTCGTGGAATTTCTTTCTAGTGTACCTGGATCTCACTTTCTTGCCTAGGTACATGAGAATTCAATTAGATGATGCTCCTGGATTCTTCCTCTGAACTGGTGCATTTGAACCAACATGCTTTCGGGTTGGTTGATTATGGTTTATTTTTCTATGACCTAATTTTCAGTTGGTTTATGACTCACCATATGCATTCAATTGTATCCCTTGTAAGCTTTGTTTGTTGAACTTGTGTTCTTGTTTTGAAATTTAAATACAAGATTTTGAATCTTCAAGCGATGTGATGAGCCACTATCACTACTGTGAACTCATTATTTTTGAATCTTTGGTTTGCTTTCCAGGTTGAGGGACCAAAATCTCCTGAAGAGATGCTAGTGATATTGCAGAGGGTCCTTGAAGAAAGTGGTCCGGTTCTGGTGGCAGCAAGACTTGATGCAGAAGAAAGAAGAAACAACATGAGATTAAGGGAGGAGCAAGATGCTGCTTACAGAGCAGCACTTGAAGCTGACCAAGTATGCTGCCTTTTAAATTTTGTAAAGTTGTTTTTCCTGGGTTGATGTAGTGGAACCCTATTACCTAAAGCCTTCAGAATCAAAAGCTCCTTGTTATACGCCATATGTGCCTGTGCACATCCACCTTCAAGATAACAAAAACTAATATCTGGCCTACTTGATTCCCTGTTTTGCTTTTAGAAAAGGCTTATGTTTCCTGAAAAACTATTTGACTGATGATTTCACATTGTGTTAATAACAATATTTTGTTCTTTTGTTATATCAGGCTAGGGAACGTCAGATGAGAGAGGAGCAAGAACGTCAAGAAAGGGAAGCTGCTGAAGCTGAGAGGAAACGTAAGGAGGAAGAAGAGGCTAATGAAAGAGCAGCCCGTGAAGCTGCTGAAAAAGAGGCTGCTCGAGCTAGGCTGCGGCAGGAGAAGGCCATGTCACTTGGTGCTGAACCTGAGAAAGGACCTGATGCTACAGAAGTAATTCTCTTCTTTGAGTTTT